CAAGATATTAATTGTGGTCTCTTTTTTTTATATACAAGTTATTTGAGTTATTTGAACTAATAAGGGAGCATAGCAAGTTGGAAAGATATGAAATCAATTAAAAATGTAATTGAGTTTCATTTGCTGCATTTGCCAAGAGAATTAAGACAATTCTCTAAATCCAGCCAGCTGATACCCCAGAGGAGGTGGGTGTCACTACCAAGAGATGCGCAGTTATAGTGAAGTGTGAAGCCCCTAGAGGAACCCAGCCGATAAATTCAACCCCATCAATGAAGGAAAGAAAAAGGAGAAGTTCTGTGTTGCCTAATGGTGTGGAAATGAAAAGTAACTGTTTATCATTCAAACCCTCTGTAGACTGCCCCAAGCCTGAGGTGTTACATGGACTTCCGCTGCCAGATGAGGTTAGGTTTGCATGTCCTCACTTCCTCACGAAAGTGATTATTCAGGACAGTGGGTCGTTTGTTGAAATCTGAAATCTCTTAGAAGAAAAATGCATCTGCAGAGTATACAGGAGGACAGGTATTTCTTGCTCAGTACCTGAAGCCCAAAAGGATGAGTTGATTCTTGAAGAAAATAGCATTACATTTGCATCAAATCCAGCTGCTTTGATTCAGCAAAAGCCATGACACTTAAAGATAGGAATATCACTAATTTTTCAGATGGTATCTATATTACTGAAAAATAAGAGATCAGCAGGCTTATAAATAATATCTAAGAATTCTCCAGCTACCAAAGCAAGAAGATTCTAAAGGACACATGCAAAACCAACTTGTGATATTTTTTAATTACAAAAAAATCAACCCCATCTATTTTTAAATGAAGTACATTCTGATAGGGAATCAGAAAATGCACTTTAAAAAAGATAGCATTTACAAGAGCCACAAAAACTGGTATTTAGGAAGAAAAATTACAAAAGATGTCTAAGGCCTATGTGAAGAAACACTACATATCTCTTAAAGGGCCAGGCTCATGCCTATAATCTCAGCACTTTGGGAGACAGGTGTGCAGATCCAGCCTGGCCAACATGGTGAAATCCAGTCTCTACTAAAAATACAAAAATTAGCCGGGCATGGTGGTATGCACCTGTAATCCTAGATACTCAGGAGGCTGAGGCAGGAGAATTGCATGAATCCGGGAGGCAGAGGTTGCAGTGAGCCAAGATGGCACCACTGCACTCCAGCCTGGTGACAGAGCAAGACTTCATCTCATCAAAAAAAAAAAAAAAAAAAACCCACTTAAGATTTAAAGGGAGAGATCTACTATTACTGTTGTGGATAAGAAGGCATGAATTTGCAAACAAATAAATTCTTTCCAGATTGAGCTATAGAGTCAATGTATTTTTTGGAATTTGACAACCTGATTCTAACATTTAAGTGTAAAAAAAAAAAAAAAAAAAAAAAAAGGACCAAGAATAGTCAAGATACTATTGAAGGAGATTAAGGAAGGGGTTTTGCGGTACTCAATGTCAGAACTTATTTTTGAATTTATAGACAGTGGTGACTCAGAGACCGTAAAATTGACTATTGGCACAGAGTAGAGGCCACAGAAAGAGACCACAGATATGTATAGAATTGTAAAACATGGCAGAATTGGTATGGAGCTCAATGGAGAAGGGAGAAGGACTGGTCAGAAATGAAGGAGAAACATACATGGATCAACACTACACACCACGTGCAAAAATCAACCCTAGGTACACTGAGTACTTAAACATCAAAAGAAAAGCACACTGTCTATGTCCATCAGTTCAATTTTTTTTAACTTTTAGATCCCACAGATGGATGAAAACATGCAATGTTTTTCTTTCTGTGCCTGGCTTATTTCACTTAACATAATGATCTCCAGTTCTACCCATGTTGTTGCAAATGACTGGATCTCATTCCTTTTTATGGCTGAATAGTACTCCATGATATATAGACATCACATTTTCTTTATCCATTCATCTATTGATGGACACTTAGGTTGCTTCTGGATTGTTTGCAACTCAGTGGATCAATGCTTGAAGGGCTGGGTACCCCATTCTTCATCATGTGTTTATTTCACACTGCATGCCTGTATTAAGACAGCTCATGTACCCCATAACTATATATACCTAATATGTACCCACAACATTAAAAATAAAAAAAAATTAAAAAGAAAAGCATAAAACTTATAGTAGAAACTATACTTGAATATCTTTCTAATCTTAGGATGGGAGAAAATTTTTTAAAATGAGACCCAAAAGGTACTCAATAGAAAAGAAGGGAATTGTGAATATGATTATATTACAACTAAGAACTCGTGTTCATTGAAGATCCCTTTAAGAAGTAAAGACAAGGCTGGGCATGGTGGCTCACACCTATAATGTCAGAACTTTGGGAGGCCGAAGTAGGAGGATCACCTGAGATCAGGAGTTTGAGGCCAGCCTGGCAAATATGGTGAAACCCCGTCTCTACTAAAAATACAAAAATTAGCTGGGCGTGGTGGTGGGTGCCTGTAATCCCAGCGACTTGGGAGACTAAGGCAGGAGAATCGCTTGAACCTGGGAGGCGGAGGTTGCTGTGAACTGAGATCGCCCCACTGCACTCCAGCCTGGGTGCCAGAGTGAGACTTTGTCTAAAAAAAAAAAAAAAAAAAAAGAAGAAGTGAAGACAAGCTCCACATTGGGAGAAGATATTTATAACACATATAATGAGAAAAATAGTGTAAAAATGTATAAAGCCCTCCAACAAATTCAATAAGAAAAAGGCAAACACCCAACAGGAAAATGGAACCCAGATGTGACCAGGCATTTGACAGAGGATGTGTGCTTATGCCAACAAACACAGAGAGAGATATTTCATCTTCATTGCTAACCAAGGAAATGCAAATCAATACCATAGGGAGATAATTTAAATAACCCCCAAAATTGAGAAAACTGAGAACAGCAAGTGCTGGAGAGATTGCAGATCAACAAGATCTCCTAGGCATAGATGAGAGTATAAATAAATGGATACAATGGCCTTGGAAAGCCATTTTTTTATGACCTTGTAAAGAAGCCCATTCACATGCCCGGTGACTCGGCAACCCAATCTTTAGGTAGTGCTAAAGAAAAGCTCTTGCGTGTTGATACAATGAGACAGGAATAAGAATGTTCAGAACAGCTCAAATGGAAACAACTCAAATATGTATCATCAGTCTGTGCTTAGGTAATAGATAAAATCATCAAATAAAATATTATAGGTGGTCACACCTGTAATCCCAGCACTTTAGGAGGACAAGGCAGGTGGATCATTTGAGGTCAGGAGTTTGAGAGCAGCCTGGTCAACGTGGAGAAAACCCATCTCTACCAAAAATACAAAAATGAGCCTTGCACGGTGGTACATGCCTTAATCCCAGCTACTCAGAAGATTGAGGCAGAATTGCTTGAACCCAGGAGGCAGAGGCTGCAATGAGCTGAGATTGCACCACTGCACTCCAGCCTGGGTGATGGAGTCAGACTCCATCTCAAAAATTATATATATTATAAGCAGAAAAAGTCAACACAACTGCAACTTCTATTGGCTGAATCATAATACAACACTGAGTCTACAAAGCAAGTCTGATAAGTGTGCATGGAACACGATACCCTCTGTAGATTCATAAGCAATTAAAACTAAATAGTGGTATATGTTAGCTCTACATATATGTGACAACACTAGGAAGACAAGATTCACAACAGCAGTTACTGGGAATGGATCAGGGAGGAGCACAGGTGGATGTAAGTTGTCATCAGCGTGTTAGGTCTTAGGTTGGATGGTGGGTTCGCATTTATCATATTATGAACAAAAATGAAGAAGTACAAGTAAATGATGCTCGTTCTAATGATAGCAGCTTGGTCATGAACTAAGCATTTTGGATAATTCCATTTGGGACAGCACTAGACCAACTTTATAAAAGAGGAGAGGAGACGTGCTGGATAGAAACTGCATGAGAAAAAACTGCAGGGGCTGAAGAAGCCCCAGCCCCTGTCCTTCAAGAATTCCACAGATATGATGAGGGGGTGGAGACAGGTAAAGGCAGTGGTGATGTGGGACGGGGACAGGGATGCGTGCAGGGCTGTAAACAGGGAAGAGAAGGGGCAGATGTCAACGGGAATGGAAACAACTAGGTTTTCCCAGAGTGGCAGATACTGAGATTAGAGCTGGGAGGATTGGATGAGGCAGTCTGGTGGAAATGGGGAAGGAAGAGTGGAAGAAACTGTACTTGCAAGGGCTCAAAGTTGTAAGACAGCAAGTGTGTACGGAGACAGGAGGCCAGCGTGGCCAGGCCAAAGGGCAGAATCAGAGATTGGGAAACAGGCTGAAGTGGCCCCTGTGGGACAAGGAACATGGCCCTGATTCTCTAAGCAACGGGAACAAACAACAACATTGAGGCTTCAGACTGGCTGAGAAGTAATAGTTTTGGGGAGATGGTTCTGGCAGCCTGACGTTTAGAATGAGAGATGGAGGCAGGGAGGAGGTGAGGTGGGTTCCGAGGTCAGTAGAGGGGGGGTGGGAAGATGAGCAGAGGACAGGTTAGTTTTAGTAATAAAGTTGGTGGTCAGGCGTGGTAATTCATGCCTGTTATCCCAGCACTTTGGGAGGCAGAGGCAGGTGGATCACCTGAGGTCAGGAGTTCAAGACCTGCCTGACTAACACGGCAAAACCCCATCTCTACTAAAAATACAAAATTAGTTGGTCGTGGTGGTGCACATCTGTAATTCCAGCTACTTGGGAGGCTGAGGCAGGAGAATCTCTTGAACCTCGGAGGTGGAGGTTGTAGTGAGCCAAGATCGCACCATTGTACTCCAGCCTGGGTAACGAGAGTGAAACTCCATTTTGAAAAAAAGGAAAGAAGGTTGGATGGGACATAACGATTTCCTCGTCCCGGGATATGAAAGGGGAGAACAAGAGAGAAGAGAACTCCCAGGTGACGAGGGAGGAGTGGGTTTGGTGGGATGCTGAGGAGCTCAGCCCAGACTTTCTGAGTGGACGTGAACATGAGAGGATCCCCAAACCACTCACCCAGGCGACAGTACCCATAACGGGGTCTTCGTCACTTATTCTCTCTGATCTCCCAGCTTCATGCTTCCTGCGGGCTTTCATTCTAAGGAAAGAAACCAACACAGTGCAGCTGGGACCACTGAGGCACGGGTTAGCAGGCTGCCCCATCCCCCATTAAGATGGTGAAAATGACCATGGAAAAGTGTCTGTTCATATCCTTCACCCACTTTTTGATGGAATTTTTTTTTTCTTGTAAATTTAAGTTCTTTGTAGATTCTGGATATTAGCCCTTTGTCAGATGGGTAGATAGCAAAACCTTTTCCCCATTCCATTGGTTGCCGGTTCACTCTAATGATAGTTTCTTTTGCTGTGCAGAAGCTCTTAAGTTTAATTACGTCCCATTTATAACATTAGGGGAAATACCTAATGTAGGTGACAGGGGTATGGAGGCAGCAAACCACCATGGCATGTGTATACCTATGTAACAATCCTGCACAATCTGCACATGTACCCCAGAACTTGAAGTATAATAAAAAAGAAAGAGAGAAAAAG